GTTCATACGTTTGTAATGTTTGTATGTTTTGTCGCTCTAGTTTGTACTGTTCGTATGTTTGTATGGTTTGTACTGATTGTAAATCCGGTTTGTATACTTCGTAATTTTTCATAATACCCAAACTACCCTGCTATTAATTAAATAGCCCTTCCCACTTTTTAACCATTGGATTGAAGTGTCCAGATCTAATGGCTAGGAGGGACTTAGTCAAGTGACTAAGCACCCCCCCTTAGTCACCAGATCCGCACTCCCAACATACCACCCATATGGTATGATCAGGGGGTGGCTCCCATGAGGATGATATAGTGGTGGGGGTGATCCATATGACCCCATGGGGGATGCCCCAATGGTATGGTGAAGGGGTCACCAACATACACACCCATGGTATGGCCAAGGAAAGGGGGTCATGTGAGCACGGGGTCTCTTTACTTTCCTAATGGTGAAGTATTTTTCGTCATTTTTAATTCATGTGATTCAAATACCCACCCATATGTTGTATGTGGTATTCCTTCATGCCTTAGCCATTTTTGCTCTATGGATAAGCAAAACTATGGAGGAGATGCCAAGAGCAGAGCTGTAGTTCTGGAGCTCTCACTGAACCTCCATAGGAGTAGGGTTAATGTAATTTAGTTTGCCTCGTAGATCATCAAGAACATCGAACACCCTTTTTTGAACTTTGTTAAAAGAGGTGTGGACCGTGTTTGTTAATCGTTTGTTTGGAAGTAAAAAAGGTGCAACAATTCATTTCTGTTCATCTAGCTTTTCTCGCCGGGAAAACACAGAGTGTGGGGTTGGTGATTTAACTAACAAATGAATTAAACAGAAATATAAATGAACAAAAAGCAAAGAAACAGGTAGCATGAGTTCTGTTTCCTCTTTCACTTTTATTATTTTCTTGGTCTTTTCATTGTGAAGCACAACTCCTCCGGCGAGTTGCACCACCAATCCATCACCATTATCGCCGTTGCCGTCGACCATCACCACTAAGATCTCGAACCCCTTGTCGTTCCAAGTCACCACCATCATCATTCCTATTATCGTCGCTAGGTCCTCTACAATCGACTCTGCCGGGGCAATCTGTCACCAACGTCGTCGTTGCTGTCAATCGGCCATCCCCACCCAAAATCGCCAACATCATCATCCCCGATGAGGCCGCCTGGTTATCCCCAGAATCGTATCTGCCTTGGCAATCCACCACCTGTTGCCACGGCCGGCCATCACCACCCAGATTCCGAACCCACGTCAATCGAAATCGCCGTCGTCTTCTGGGGCGTCTATCAAGCTTGATTTTCTTTGAATAATAAAAATAACTATAATAAAAGATTTTAACAAATAACAGGTTGAACCAATTAAAATAGGTTCGACCGGTTTTGATTTAATGATGGTTAACGGTCCTCACTAAATACAATATATCCAACTGCTGAAAAAGTGTCGGCTACCATGCCGGCACCACAGAATCCGCCCAAAACCGTAATCTATGCGGTCTAATCTCTCAATGATTTTCTTTTGAATCTTCCAAAAAAGAGTTATAAAAAATCTTCCAAACAAGTTGCCGACGATGACGAAGACTAATTATTGTCCAATATCACTGCGCAACGAGTATGGCAGCATCACATCTATATGACTTTATCCTCTCCTCCCCCCAAAATCCTTGCTCTCCACCTCCTCCTCCATCCTCATCCAAAACCCTCCCAATATGGCTTCAACCCAGCAACACTCTGCATCCAATACCTACGACAGACTCGCCGAGCTCAAATCTTTCGACGAGACAAAAGCCGGAGTCAAAGGACTCGTCGACGCCGGAATCACCCACATCCCTCGAATCTTCCACACCCCGCCGCACATTCTCGACAACCGACCTCCATCCGCCGGCGATCCCAACCTCTTCACTCTCCCGGTCATCGACCTGGCCGGCATCCATCATCACCACCGCGATCCAGACAAGCGAAAGGAAGCGGTCGAGAGAATCAGGGCGGCGTCGCGCACCTGGGGTTTTTTCCAGGTGCTGAATCATGGAATCCCTGCGAGCACCCTGGAGGAGATGAAATCAGGGGTTCGCAGGTTTTTCGAGCAGGATTTGGAGCGGAAGAAGGAATTCTTCTCCCGTGACTTAACTGGGAAGATGGCTTACAGCAGCAACTTCGATCTCTACACTGGCCCTGCTACCAATTGGAGGGATACCATTTACTTCAGCATGGCCCCTGATCCTCTCCACCCCCACCAATTGCCCGCCGCCTGCAGGTATTTTGACTAGATTCGAAGTTCATGATCGGTTGAATGCTTGAATTTCTCATCGTATTATCATCTACTATTGATGGACAATACTGGCGGATCTAGGGGTGGCCACCCCATGCCCCGGCCCAGTCCTCATGATCCGGAGTTAGTATAGTCCTTATAAATTTTTCGATTTTGGTTATTCGGTCCAGTGTTATTTTATAATAAGATTGGGTGTAACTAGAAAAATGATTCAAATCAACATATTCAAATTACTACTATAAATTTAGCCTAGAAATTCTAGCTCCAAAGATTATTCTTCAAAAAAAAAAAAAACAATGAAATCTTAAATTCTAAAAGTCTAAAACAAAAGACTTATAAGAAATTTGAGTTTTGTTCCCTGAAAATTTACTAAAGCAGCTAGTGGATATAGGTATGGACACACAATGCACGATTGATTTGTCTAGTGGTGGCGCTGCTCGTATCACCAATTACTACGAGGAGAACATTTTCAAGAATGAAACATATGAAAACTGATTTGTGCAACAAAACGAGCGATGAATTTCTCGCCGATTGCTCAAGTATTTTATTTAAAACAGTGTATATTATTGGTATGAGTGTGAACTCTATTATTGATGTATTCACTAAATTAAAATACCGTCGTGTACAATTTATATTGTAAAAAAAAACTATAATGTTTTTTTTACGGTTCTAATTTTCTAATGAAATGCGGCCCAGTGATTTTCTGTGTTCTGGATCCGCCGCTGACGGACAGTCATGAGGTCTCGCTGTAATGTGTATCTCCTTTAAGTATAGTCAAAGTGTGTATCTGTATACTACCAATGAACTAGCTAACACACATTGTGTTCGTAAACCATCTTATTGAATTCATAGTTTATCATTCAATCAATTTCCACTCTGTTTTTTTTTCCAGAGACATTGTGACAGAGTATTCCAAACAAGTGCTGAAACTGGGGGACTTGCTTTTGGAATTGTTATCGGAAGCTCTAGGACTGCCGACAGATCGATTGAAGAATCTGGAGTGCGGGAAAGGACTTCAGATGGTGTGCCATTACTACCCGGCTTGTCCTCAGCCGGAGCTCACTCTGGGAGCGAGCAAGCACGCGGACAATGACTTCATTACGCTGCTTCTGCAAGACGATGTCGGAGGTCTGCAGGTTCTTCATCAGAATCAATGGGTCGACGTGATTCCCTTGCCGGGAGCGATAGTGGTGAACATCGGAGACATGCTTCAGGTTAATTTCTAGTCAAAAATTTTGTGACAAGTTTAGAAAATGTCTCTTTTTTATATTTTACCTAATCAGTTGTCTGAACGATTTCAGCTGATATCGAATGACAAGTTCACAAGCGTGGAGCACAGAGTGGTACCAAATAAAAGAGGGCCGAGAATCTCCGTCGCGTGCTTCTTTAGCACTTTCCTTGCTCCGAACTCCACCAAGTACGGACCTATAAAGGAGTTGTTGTCGGAAGACGATCCGCCAAAGTACAGGGAAACCACGTTGCCAGAGTATGTTTCGCACTACAATAGCAAGGGGCTTGATGGGACTTCTGCTCTTCTGCACTTCAAGCTCTGAAACCTGGACATCACCGAGTGTGAATGTAGGACCGTTTGGCCCGATGCCAAGAGAGAGAGAGGGGCAAAAATTAGTAGTCTGCAGTGCAGACGGTAATTCTGGAACTAAAGTTGTCATTTATGCAGTTGAGAGTCTGATAACAGTGAGTTTGATAGTCTATTTGGGAAGGACAAAATAGACATTAACTTATATTTCGATATATAATCTGTATTTTGATATATATTGATTTCAATCTCGTAATTTATAACACAAAATAACACTTGAAATTCAATCACAACTAAAGGTAAAATAGCCTGACGGTAAAGCTGTCGCGACGGTGAATGCTTAAGAGTTGCAGGTCCCAGGTTCGAATCCAAGCGAGGCTCGTTGGTGCTCTCGGAAGTACAATGCTGCTGGGGGCGAAGCCTCGTTGGCGTCGAATGTGATTGCAGGTGGCCTCAGGTTTAGTAGGACCTGCTGTCACAAAGTTGCACGTGGGGCTAAGGTTCCTGAGCAATAAAAAAAATAAATCAATCACAATCTCAATCCCATGAAAAAATACACGTATTCGATAATATCAAATATCAATAAATTTAATACAATTTTTTTAATAATACGTTATTCAGTAGTTCTCAAACGTAGAGGTGGCAAATTGATTGATTCATGGATTGGTGGATCCATGGATCGGTGGATTCATGGATTGGATCAAGTGGATTGGTGGATTATCCATGAATCCAAATGACATCCTCAACCAAGGACCAATATGTAAAAATGAAAAAAGTTTAGGTACTAAAATATCATAATGAAAAATTTTAGGTACCAAAAAGTAATTTTCAATGATATTTTCGTATAAAAAATTAAAATTTGGGTACCAAAATGTAAAATATAAATAGTATAGGTACCAAATCGTAATTTGTCATTTTGTTGGATTTGGATCAAATGAATTGAATTTAAATTGATTAGATTATATGGATATTTTTATTGGATTGATGAATTAGATTGAGAATTGCCACCACTCCTCAAAACAATATCAATATCAAACTTTATAGTTATACGTTAGCATCCTATCTTATCTCAGTCAAATGAGGTAGACCGTAGACGGCTATCGGTATAACCAAACCTTCCCATATCGTAGCGCTGTCCTCGTGCCACGTCAGCCTTAGCTATGAAGTTTAAAAAAGGGCATTAATTGCTAAAATTAACTCACCGTCACCGATATCAGTTGACGTCATTACCTGCCGACAGGTGGACAGTTATCCGCCGGGAAAGAACGACCAACAATTCAACGCAGCAAAGCTTCCCACTCTCCCCGAACTGATGGCTGGATCTGGAATTGCCACTCTGTATCTCCTCACTTACAATTCAATCCAGGCATTCGGATGGTAATTTTCCCGCCCTTTCCCCTAGACCCCCGAAGATTCATCAGTTATGTTCTCTTCTATCTGCGATTCTGTCACTTCCATCGACTCATCGGTTCTTCGTTTCCATTCACGGCAGGGCAATCGCACTCTTCAGAATCCTGAGCAACTTCAGCGCTACTGGTTCCGTCGCCGGAGCTTATGCCTCTGCCGGAGACCTTATCTGTCAGTGTTTTCCTTCGCCTAATGTTTTCTGCTTCCTTTTAGGGTTTCCATGCCTTTACTCTCTGTAAAACCTCCCTTTTGAAGGCTTATTGCAAAGCATTGCGTTCTTGGAAGTCGTCCATGGAGCATTAGGTGAGCCTTTTTTTTTTTTCTCAGCCCACGGCGCTTGTTCGTTCAATCTTAATTTTGGCCTGTTTTGGTGGAGAATGTATCATTAGAGTTTAAGAACCAGTGCTGCTATACCGACTGTGAGTTTATGTTTCCCAACAATTAGGTCTTGTCCCGAGTGGCGTTTTGTACCCGTTTATGCAATGGGGAGGCCGAACCCACTTCGTTCTGGCCATCGTCCGCAAGATCGTTGAGGTTTGCATTTTGGTTTCTCATATCTAATTTGCTTCACAGTTGGGGGAATTCTGCAATATAGTTGTCTGAGATTACAATTCGATTTAGGACTGATGAAATGGCTGCTTAATTTTGATTCGAAGGGTGTTGTCGCATTGGGTTGGATATGGGCACATTTGTAGGAGATATGCTTATCAAGCTTCTACTGAGTCAATCTCTTCAAACATTGTGTTCGGCCAGGTTCAGGAGTTGCCAGCAGTTTTCATAACCTTTACGGCTTGGAGCATAGCTGAGGTTAGTCTGTGCTCTGTTGAATGCAATGGCTCCTAAGTTGTGAACTTCATTTGTGCACATCATGGTTCATGTGTACTGGTAACGCCAGATTCAATCATTATTATGCTAGTGGACCAGTTGTGGTAAGGGATTCTTGAATAATTTTGTCATACTGATAGACTGAATTCAAGACAATAGATCCCGGAAATGACCTTGTAGAACAACCATTCAGACTAAGCATGAAGTTTTGTATGTTGATGTTCATAGATTTAATCTCTCACCAGAATTTTGTGTATGATATTGGACTCAGTCTATTAGGTATTCACATTATGCTCTGAACTGCATAGGCCGTTGTCCATCATGGATTGTGTACCTTAGGTAAGGCATTCTCTTCTCATAATGGCTCTTCGCCTGCCAAAATCTTCCATTTTTTCCCCTTCTTTCCTTTTTCTTTGAAAAAAGTTTCTGGAATTTTTCTTGGATTTGCTTACTGACTTCTTGTCTTTGATAGGTATACTGCGTTCATTGTGCTTTATCCTATAGGGCTTTTTCCAGGCGAAAGTAAGTGATTGACTGTCCTATTTATGTTGTTGAATGGGCACTTATGAGATCCTCATTAGTTTCATCATGGATATGCTTCCTGTTCCCCAAGATCTCAGTTTGTTTTTCCACTTCTTTGCAGTCTGGCTCATGTACCAAGCGCTTCCATTTGTGAAGAAGACGAACCTCTATGCAAACTTTTTCGCTCATCTTCCATTCAGTTACTATAACTTTCTCTGGGTAAGTTTGCCCTTCTGATCGCTGTTCTAATTTTGTTTGAACATGAAAAATATCCAAATACATCGACTTTATTCACAAATTATACTGGTCTTATGGTCCATTAACAAGTATTGACCTCACCTATGCAAGTGATAACTTATTACTTTCCCCTAGAAGAAAGATAACTTTTGTTAGAGAGTTGGAAGTATTGATGTACAGCATAAACCAAGTTTTGGACTAAACTAAATCTGGCTTGATCGGAACAAGATGAATTACGTTGCCTTCTGTTTGTTCCTCTTCTTCTCATGACGGTGTAGTGGCATGGACATGGGTTAGATTTAGATTCACAAACAGATTATCCTTATCTTCATCTCACCAGCTACATGATTTTCTTATATAAACAATACATGTGGAGATGAACTTGGCGTCTAAATCATCCCAATCATAATCTCACCTGGCAGATTAGGTTGGAGCATGTTGCGAACAAAGATGATCATTATTTAATTCCATCAGTTACTGAATGTTCATGTTCCTCTCTGTTTTCATTTCACTCTCTGTCAGGCTGTACTCCTCAGCTATCCCTTCCTCTGGTTCAATCTCTACCTCCATATGCTGAAACAACGAAGGTCAAAGCTCGGGAAGCAGAACATCAAGAAGAAGAGGAACTAGTCGAGCTCGAAACGCCTTACAGATTCAAACTCCGCCACATCTGTGTATGAACTTGTCACTCAGAAGAGAATATTGGTTTAGTTGACTCTTGATTGAATGATGTAACAGCGATAATTACCCTTCACCTAAACCCCATCTTTAATACAGAAAAGCAGGGCTTGTTGGTCTGATGATTCGATTAAACTTGAAAGCAAATGATTGAAGGAAAGGAACCAACAACTCTTACAGATGATTATATTCAACACTTGGAACCAAAAGCCAGCAGCAGATAATAACAATACAAAACAACCAACAACAATCACTTGAAACCAAACCAAACCCTCAAACCGGAACCCGAACCCGATACAAGTAATCAGTAATCCTGAACGGGGAGCTGTTCATGGGTGGATGGAGCCATGAAGAAAATCTCGTAGACGAGAGCTGCAATCCCAGCGCCGACGAATGGGCCGAGCCAGTACACCCAGTGGCTGCTCCAGGTCCAGCTCACGACGGCGGGCCCAAATGACACCGCTGGGTTCATCGACGCACCGTCGAATGCTCCTCCGGCCAGGATGTTAGCACCCACGATGAAACCGATGGCGATGGGGGCGATCGTTCCCAGGTCTCCTTTCTTGGGGTCCACGGCAGTGGCGTACACGGTGTACACCAGCCCGAATGTCATCACGATCTCGAAAACGACGGCGTTCCACTCGCCCACTCCCGCTGACAGAGCAAAAGCAGAGGTTTCCTGCCACCATATACAGAGTAGGTTCCAGAAGATTCATTAATGGAAACTTAAACAAAAAAAGAAAAAGTGAATAACTCGGAATTGTTGTAAATTCAAATCAGTTCGTACCAGCCCGCCGGTGGAGAACTTGAGAAGCAAGCAAGCGGCGACGGAGCCGAGCAATTGGGCGATCCAGTACACGATGCTGCGGACGAATGTGATGTGCCCGCCGACGAATGCGCCGAAGGTAACGGCGGGGTTGACGTGTCCGCCGGAAATGTTGGCGCCGACGGAAACCGCGACGAAAAGTGCGAAGGCGTGTGCGATGGCCGCGGCGATCAGGCCGGCCGGCGAGGCAGGGCCGCCGCCGGTGAGCTTGCCTGGTAAATCACGAACGTAAGTTTAGCAAAAAATTGTCATAAATTCAACTGAGACGTTGAAAGGAATGATAATAGTAGTAAGAAAAATTACCAAAAGCCATGCCGGAGCCTTCTCCGGCGAACACGAAAATGAGCATGGAGATGAACTCGGCCAGACCGGCCTTGAGTGCATCGGGCTGACCGGCTTCGGCCAGAGATCCAAATGCGATTCTAGAGATCGGCATTCTTCTTTCTTTTCTTTTGGTGGGTTGACTTTGGAGTTCACTCTCAAAGCTCAAAAATTGCTCTTAAGATTGTTTTCTAGCTGCCTGAGTATGGAGCTTGGTTCAGCGGGCTGTTTATATATGCGTGGGAAGCGGGACGAACCGGTTCAATTCTCCCGGGTTTTCTTTCTTCTTTCAATTTCCCGGTTCGCGTTCGAGTTTGAATTATTACGGACGGGTTGTCTTTACCGGCAAAATGAGCTGTCGCTGTCTAATAGGCGGGCCTCCAAATGATTCCTGGGGCGCCACGTGTACGGTTGATGTGACAAAACCGGCCAATCCAAGAGCGGAGAAATTTCGAAATGATTAGTTTAAACCTTCTGCTTAACCGACCAAATGAGTTGTTTAATGTTTGGGCTATTTGTGGATTAGTTGTGGAGGTCTCATTTTCAGCCCACTAATTCAACGCTAACAACTCAATTATATATATTAAGATTAAAAAAGGCTCAATGATTTGGATCCGTTAAATGATAATGATTCCCATCGTATTTGTTAATTTATCTTGCGTTTGGGCTTTGGTTAGTGAATAGTGGGAGGAATAAAACCTAGTTTTTTTTTAATAGACAACATATTAGTTTAAAATTATCTAATTCCTTTCCGTTTCTACTTCTGTATGGATTGTGAAATAGTATGATGTTTGTCATTGTTAGTAAGGGCATTATTAGTTTAATGCCACAGCCTCAATGGGGACATAATCAAAATGTCGTTACTTTTATGCAAAAAGTCCAACCTTTCATTACATTAAATTACAAATCAAAATAAATACATAAATATATATATAAAGGTGTTTTTAAAAAAAGTTGTGGGTCTTTTCTAGCGAATGAAACTTATTTTTCTCGATTAATGCATATTTATGTTGATTAATTACTCCATTTATGTGTTACAAGATGAATTACTGCACCGATGTCATAATTAGGATTTTGAACTGAGCCCCATGACATATTTAAAATATTAGCCATTTTTATATTATCGTTAATAATTTTTAACTCATTTTTTAATTAAAATACTAAAATTTTGGAATGTTAACCTTCATATGTTCCTTCCAAGTCCATATCATGTTGCCAAATCAATATTACTAACAAAATTTTTAACTAGAAGTTAACATTTGAGCTTTAACTAATTCTTAGTATTTCGATAGGTTTACCTAATAAAAAAAATCCTGAAATTTTTTTAGCTAACAAATAGTAATTATCCTTATAATATTGATGGAAGGTGGAAATATTATTATACCACCGCCCGAGCTTTTGTAAAATCCTAGCCATTCAAATGTGAGGGAGTGGGCCATCATATAACAATTGTGAGAATTAAAATCGCTAGCTAGTTAGGAGAAGAGTGACAAAGAAAGCTGTATTGGGTGTAGTGGGCAGGCATTATAGGGTATAGGCTGAGTAAGCAGCCTAATTTGGTGTTATTCCTCCCACTCTAAACTTGATTATCCTCCTAAACTAAGAACATCATCATCTTCATTATTTAAATGATCTTCTCACTATTTTTCCCCTTCTTTCGTGCTAGTTGTTGATTTCAAGATTGACACTCAGGATGCGATAAATGTTCTCATTCCTACATTACCACTAGGGTTATAGGTATAATATGCCCATCTACTTTGTAGTTTTATCAAACATACCTTTCTACTATTTTTTACATCAAACATGCCCTTATACTTTGTAAAAATGATCAAACATGTCCTTTTGTTAAAATTTGCATCCAAAAACCATCAATCATGGTCGAACCTTGGTTTGGGCAACACCTATATCTAAAATATTCCTAATAATTTCACTTTAGAATTGTTTTGTTTCTTTTGTATAGCCAAATACCTCTAATAATTTCACTTTAACTAGATCTGGAGAAATAAATGAGGAAAAAAAACTGACATTTCAACCCCAATTTTTTCGATGTCGGGTCGTGTGAATCTCGGTTCAACTATGGTTGACCATTTTTTAATGGAAATTTTTACATAAGGGCATGTTTGATAATTTTTCCAAAGTATAGGGGCATGTTCAGGGGTGAACCCAAGGGAGTTTGGGGGTGTCCCGTGACACCCCTAAATTTTGGGAAAACGATTATTTAACTGCCGGTGGTAATTTACGTATGAACAAAAAGATTATAATTGATAGTGAAGGACACCCCCTGAAACTTGAAAAAATGATTATCCTACTCTCATTCTCTTAATTTATATTTGAAATATAAGTGGTAGGTTGGGTAATTAAAATCTAGAACACTATTATTATTAATAAACATAATTTCTATTAAGCTACAACTCGTTTGTTGTTTGATTTTAAACACTGAGTAACAGTAAAATGTTATTCTCTATCTCTAGTTATTTTCAAAACCTAACAATTAAACTAATTTCAAGCTACACTTAATTTATATTGATTTTATGGTTGCACGACAAGTGTTGAAAGAGTCTTTTCATCTTTGGATTACTTCAAGAACAAATTTAGAAACCGAATATGAAATCAGTTCGTGAATAACTATCTAGTAGGATATACAGAAATAATTTTTTGAGCAGTGTAGACACCAAGTGTATTCTACAATTATTTCCGAATATGAAAGCACATTGTGGACTTTTTCTAACTTGTACGAGTCATGTATTTTCTTATTTCAAATTATTTAATTTTATTTAATTTATTTTTATAAAAAGGATACCCTTATGTAAAATTCATGGGTCCGCCACTGGGCATGTTTGATGTAAAAAATAGTAAAGATACATATTTGATAAAACTGCATAATAAAAGGACATATTATACCTATAATCCTTACCACTAAATTAATCTCTTCAAATTACTAATTTCTTTTGTTAAAGAAAGAAAAAAAGAATCTGTACATCCTCCGTCGACGAGTGTGATAAGTTCCAAGGTCATAGTCCTCGTGGAAAAAAGAAAAGACCAAATGAAGAAGAAAGAAAACGCAACACAAGTTAGAGTAAGTTTTTATAATTTACAAGGTTAATTTGTGCCGAATTACTAATCTATATCAAATTAAAGTCATGATTAGTTTTGCAAAGGCATGAAAAATTGTAAATACCAATCAAGATTCAAGGCATAGGAGATCCACAGCAGACAGAACTTTTTCAGTACAGCCTGACTTGTGCAATTAATGCATTATTGTTTCAATGATTTTAAGCACATGTTGTAATGAGCTAGCTTTAGGACTAGCTAGTTTTCGTTCAATTGGAGCAGCAATCGTTGAAGTCGCGGGTGATGCGATGTGTGCGAGAGGCCGGTTTCCAACTTTCCATACGGTGAGGGCAAATCCACCGGCCGACCGGCCAGTTGAAGATTTCGTTGAAAATGTCGGCAAAAGTATGAAGGAAAACAGGCTAGCTAGGTTGATCATTTGAACGTCTCTCAGAATTGATACCCCACCCGACCCAGTGATAGAATGTATTGTTTTTGACAGAACAGGTTACATACCACTAGGGCGGTTAGTGAACCAAGCCGCTTATGAACGGCTCGGTGTGCGACTCGAGAAAAACTCGTTCGACATTCGATTCATTTTAATCGAGCCGGCTCGCGAACAAGCTCGTTAACTAAACGAGCCGAACTCGAGCCATACTATGTTCAGCTCGAAAGCTCGCGAACAAGCTCATTTAATGGTTTGGCATAAAAAAAGAATTAGAATTCATGGATTTTATGTATTGAAATTGGGATAAATATTGTGTTTTACTTTGCTACAGGTTTAAATGAAATTTTGTGCGCAGTTCTAGATCAATCTTGAGCTATCATGAACATTTTATGAGCCGAACTCGATTTTGGGCTCGTTAAGCTTACTTGACGAGCCGAGCTCGAGTCGAGCTCGAGCTTTCATTTTCGTAAACGAGTCGAGCTCGAGCTTGCATATTAAAGCTCATAACGAACACGAGCCGAGCTTGAGCCTGGAAATATATTAACGAGCGGAGCTCGAACTATGGCAAAGCTCGGCTCGACTCGGCTCATTAACAGCCCTACATACAACTTACAAGCGAATAGTTTGTTGACGAGTTTGTGGATGTTATTTTAGTATAAAGTTTCTATTGTTGTAATCCCTTGTTTCGTTCACTTAGCTTAATTAAGGGATTAGTTTGTAATTAGCCTACCCGTGTAGCTCAGTTGTGAGGCTACGACTTTTCTTATTTAGGCCGACGGGTTCTTTGCAAACCCTAAGCCAAACACTTCATCATAATAATAATCCGAAGAGCTCTCGTTCTCCGTGGAGTAGTCTCGTCCATAACTGGACGGGGAAACCACGTAAATCGTTGTTGTTCGTGTTCTTTTTGTTTTCGCTATCACGGAATTCTACATGGTATCAGAGCTGTGATCCTACAACAATCTTCCTTTCATCATGAGTGACATAGAAGGCGAATCAGGTCATGGCACGACCACGCCCATGTCTGCGATTCCTGTGTCGGCGAGCAGCAAGGGTCCTGCCGTCCCGTCACCGTTTACCATCCATCAGTCAGATAATCCCGGCCAGCTGTTTGTTGGCGAGCTCCTCACGGAAACCAATTACGGAGAATGGCTGGGCGACATCACCGACTCTCTCATAGCCAAGAATAAACTTGGTTTCGTTGACGTCACTATCGTCAAACCGACTTCAGGGGGCGAAGAGTTTGATCTCTGGAAGCAATGTGACGCTATGGTTAAAGGTTGGCTCAAGACGGCCATGTCTAAAGATGTTCGCAACAGCGTTTGTTTTGCTAAAACGGCGCGGGAGATATGGCTCGATTTGCAGGCCCGATTTGGGCATGGAAGCGCGCCTCGCTTATATGAGCTGCGACAGTCTATTCTTTCTCTCCAGCAAGAGAAGTCTTCGGTAGCCTCCTTTTACACAAAGCTTCGCAGCTCTTGGGACGAAATGACCTCTATCGCGCCTTCTCTTGAATGCTCCTGTGGCGGGTGTACCTGCAATGTCAAGCGCCGTCAACGGGAAGCCAAGGAAAGTGAACGTTTATTTGACTTTTTAATGGGTTTAGATGATGCCTTTGCTACTGTGAAAACTCAGATTTTGGCCATGAAGCCTTTTCCTAGCTTAGCTTAAGCTTATCATTTGGTGATGAATGATGAACACCAGCGCCTTCTTTCCAGCAGCAGGCATCCTCGACTCGATGTCGCGGCCTTCCAAGCTCAAGGGGACAA